GACCCTTCCCAAAATGGTTGGGCCAGAACCGCCCCTATATATCTACTATATTGAAATGTTGAACATAAAATATCGGCTATAAAAAGTCAATGAAGTTCGATTTTTCTATACAACTTATTCTACTGAGATATTTGTTATCGAATTTCTTCCGCTGAAATTTAGAGATTGTTGGTGGTAGATTTTCTCGATGAAAAGAATAGAAAAATGGAATGAAAAAATTATAGGTGGCTGTATCTATGATACAGCTGTAATTGTACATGAATACGACCATAGTCTTTCTTTCTTCCTTGAACTTCCTATATAGAAACGCCTTGAATTCTCTCGAATTGGCGAGAAGCTCCCGGAATCCCCTCGGGATTTCTGTAAACTCCTTGAATTGTTTGGAAATTTGAAGAAACTTCTAAAATTACCTGGAAATGTCTGAAATTTTCAATAATTCCGGTAGATGCCGCTGAACATAAGAACTGTTTTACAAAATAACGCCCAAAAAGTAATAGCAATTTTTCCAATGAAATTATTCGTTTTTTTCATGAACGATCCAGTATTTCTGGGTAGCACCACCACCACCACCACCACCACCACCACCACCACCACCACCAACACCACCACCACCAACACCACCACCACAACCAGCAGATTTTCCAGGAGCAGGAGGAGGAGCTGAAAGAGGAGTCCTGGAAGGAGCTGCTGCAGGATTGGAAGCTCCAGGAGCAGCAGTCCCCATAGTCCCCCCACGACCTGATGCTGCTATCGCAGGTCTTGCAGCCCTCATTGGCCAAGTGGTTGAGCCTGCGAGGCAGGCCCAGGTGATTGCATTGGTCAACCAGGTTGTGGAGGCGACAGTACAGGAGAGACTGAGGGAGAGAGAGAAAAAGAAGAAGAAGAACAGAGGAAAGAAGCAGTGGGTGCCAAGAGGTGGGAAGAGAGGAAGAGGTTGGTGTGGAGGGGGAAGAGGTCAGGGAGGAGATGGAGCTCGTGGAGGGTGGGAGAGTAGATTGCACCTTTACATTCAAAAATGAATAATAAATAATGAAATTAATGGTAATTGTCTTTTCTATCATTCCCTTATGATACTTTTTTACTAGAAAAATCTAAAAATGTGGGGTTTTACCGCCCCGCGCCCCTTTGCCCTACCCTCGATGAATCAAATATTTTTAGGGGGGTCCAGGGGAAGCCCCTGAACATTTTCAAATAAAAAAATTTAGTCAAATTGTCACCCTTATAAGAAAAATTTTTTTTGTCTCGAAAAATCGAAAAATGTGGGGTTTTACACCCCCTCGCCCCTTCGCCCTATCGACGACCAGTGGAATATTTTTTGGAGGACTGACGGAGAATCCCTGAACATTTTTTAGTCCAACAATTTAGTCAAGTTGTTACTCTTATAATGAAAATATTTTTTTCACTAGAAAAATCGAAAAATTAGGGGGTTTACCCCCCCTCGCCCCTTCGCCCTACCCTTCATGAGTCGAATATTTGTTGGGGGTTTGAGGGAGAGCCCCTGAACATTTTGTAGTCAAAAAATGTAGTCAGTTTGCCACCCTTATAATAACATAATTTTTTATACCAGAAAAATGGAAAAATGAGGGGTTTTACCCCCCCTTGCCCTTTTATTCTACCCTCGATGAGTGGCATATTTTTTGGGGGATTGAGGGGGAGCCCCTGAACAATTTTTAGTTCAAAAATGTAGTCAAGTTGTTACTCTTATAATAAAAATAGTTTTTTTACTAGAAAAATCGAAAAATTAAGGGGTTTACCCCCTCTCGTCCCTTCACCCTACCCTTCATGAGGCGAATATTTTTTGGACAGTTGAGGGGGATCCCCTGAATATTTTTTAGTACAAAAATTCAGTCAAGTTGTTAATTTTATACTAAAAATAGTTTTTTCACTAGAAAAATCGAAAAATTAGGGGGTTTATCCCCCCCCTCGCCTCTTCGCCCTACTCTTCATGAGTCGAATATTTGTTGGGGGGTTGAGGGAAAACCCCTGAACATTTTTTAGTCCGAAAATGTAGTCAAATTGTCACCCTTATAATAAAATTTTTTTTTTCTAGAAAAATCGAAAAAAATTGAGTTTTACACCCCCTCGTCACTTTGCCCTACCCTAGATGAGTCGAATATTTTTTGTGGGGTTGAGGGGGAGCCCTGAACATTTTTTAGTCACAAAATGTAGTGAAGTTCTCACCCTTATAATAAAAAGATTTTTTTTACTAAAAAAATCAAAAAAGGGGTTTAACCACCCCACGCCCCTTTGCCCAATCATTCACGAGTCCAATATTTGTTGGGGGGTTGAGGGAGAGCCCCTGAACATTTTGTAGTCAAAAAATGTAGTCAGTTTACCACCCTTACAATAACATAATTTTTTATACCAGAAAAATGAAAAAATGAGGGGTTTTAGCCCCCCTTGCCCTTTTATTCTACCCTCGGTGAGTGTGTGAGAGACAGACGTGAGTTTGTATCACCCTAGTTTATGGATTTTAATTCCCATGACTTACGTTCATGCATGGAAATCATTACCCACCTATTTTATTGGATCCAAACCTTAAAGACTTTGCATCTCCTGCAGTAGTCGCGGCTAAAGTGGGGAGCTCGGCCAACTCAGAGCTTGATCTTTGACGCTCGGCTAGCTTGGCCGATAGGTCCTCGGGTTGTATCGGTAGTTTACTCTTCTTCCAGGCACATAGGAGAGTCATCAACAGCCTCCTCCATCGAGACGCCGCGAATAAGATACCTGATAAGGCTCAACCCTCCAATGGATCCCATGGTCCGTAGCCGGTGGTGGTATTCTTCTTGATGTCTCATCCCAATCTCTACTAGTCTGCGCTGCGCCTCATCCAGCCGCAGTTCGTTTTCCCGATGATCTTCAAGGTTCGGTAACGGATCAACGTGGAGATTGGTAAGAAAATGAGCCAAGCCGGGGGTCTGAGCTAATTCGGGAGCGAAATTGCCGATTGATAAGTTCACGGGTGGTAAGTGAACTTCGATTTCTGTCGTCTCGATGATTGCAATATCGGATATGAGATCTCTCGACGTTCGGAGATCACAATCCCTACCCAGGGTTACAATCCCGGTTCCGGCGATGTTGACTGCATCCACGAGCTTCTGTCCGCAGAGTATATCCCCGTGTTCGGGTTCGATAGAGGTGAAAAGCCATTGTTTGCTGGTGCCTAAGTTGGTCCATTCTGTGCCTCATGATTTACTGATCTTTATATCACAAGTGCGTAAGACATCTGCTGATGCTTTCGAGATCTTCCTGCTGTAGGAGCGCGTACCTACGTCGATCTTCTGAGACGCGTATATACGGTTTCTCGTGTGTAATGTGAGCCGATATGGTGCGATTACCCACGAGTTGAGGTCGTCTGCAAGAGCGTAACCGATATAAATGATAGATGTCTCGGGTCATCAGTGGCAGGGTGATATTCTGAAGGAATTTATGCGATAGTGTGATAAGGCGTCGCGAAGATGAGTCAGTCCTAGTAGTACGTCATTGATATAAGGCCTTTGCGTATGGTGATTCTTCACGATGATTGTAAAAGTCTTGTATTTTCCGGCGAGTGTAACTAGCACGTCGCCGATGACGGGTTTATAACGCTGTAGTTCGTGAACGTCTACAAGATGGACCGATTGTAAGAGTTTTCCGACGGGGCTGTTAATTTCGCAATCGGTGGCCAGAAAATGCACGAGATGACCGCGTCTAAAAGTGAGACCATCGTCTGTCTCTACCAGACCCGGTTGTAATATGGTGGTAGGTAAGGGGGTCAGGTTATCATCCCCCCTTGTGGCTTCGTCGTATTCTTTTTCCAGGGGTTCTTTATCACTCGAGGTGGGCTGAAGATAGATTCCCTTACCAGTAGTGTGCTGTGGAGCTGAGGCCATCGTAGGCGTTGGTGCGGTTATTTGCGCCTCTTCGGAATGTGAGGAGATAGGCGGGAGAGAAAATCGTAGCCTTTTCACCGCTTCCTTAGCCCTGGCTTTGGTTGTAACTTCGATGAATGGGTTGGATTTGGCCATGGGTATCTCGCCTGGCTTGGGCGTTGGGAGGAATGATACTCGCCTGGGCTTCCGAATGATGGAATGGATTGGAGGCCTACTCGTGCTTGACCCTGCTGGGGTTGGCGATTCTCGAGGGGAATATTGTGCCTCTGTTTCAGACGATTCATCGGCCGACCCTGGCGCAACTGGAGGAGGCGTTGACGGTTGGGGTTTCGAGTGTCTGTTTAGACTTGCCTGCAGGTTTTCCAAGCTTCGCAGTAGTTTTGCTATCTTTTTGTCTCTTATTTTAGCTCTTGTTCCGATACTCGGATCCCCCTCGAGTTCTCCCTCTGGTCTTTCTACGTCTTCCTGCTCTTCTTCTTCGTCGTCTTTGTCCTCTACCTCTTCTTTCTCTTCTTCTTCGTCGTCCGCGGATATGAATGCAGACGGATCAAAACCCTTAGACGCATTCTTTTCGTCCAAGGCTCGGAAGGACTTTCGTAAACTCTCTAAGAAGGCGGGTGTTCGTTCGAAAGCTTGGTTTATATGATTCGCCGGTGACCTAGGCTTTTGGGGTGCCGTTTCGTTTTCGACGAGTTGTAGTGGAGGTTCATCTGTTTCGGGAGCTTCTGATTCAGGAGCTCTTCTCGGATCTTTTTCTATCTCGACAATGACATCGCTAGATATTGGTGGGCAGTCAAAGACGTCGTCATCATCCGTATCATCGTCGAACTGTGGAGGTGGAGGCGAGGCCAGTCTTATCTGTGGGGACTCAGGCTCGTCTCTGAGTTCACTAGAAGTCGTCGTTATGCCCTCCCGCTCCAGTTCCGTGAAATCAGCCGGTTCGGTATACGTTGGCCTTGTGACTCCTGAGACAGTGTTGGCACGGATGCGAAATCTCAGACGAGAGGCTATCGTATCTCGGGGTGAGGGGACGATAGGCTTCTGTGTCGCCTTTTTCTGACTGGACGGTTTTGCAGACGTCGACCTTTCCGTTGGATTAGAAGGGCTGGATGTCGCTCGTAACGTCGAAGGTTGATTAGCGCTGTCTTTTCTCGGTCTGCCCCTTCCTCGTTTTGCCGGTTGGTCTCTCATGGCCGGCGTACTCTCGGATACGGTGTTTGATCTGGGTCTGGGAGGCAGTGGCACTGTGAAACGCCCGGGCATGGTGCAAAACTTGGCAACTTCTTCGTCGGTCGCCGGTATATCAACGGGGTTATACGCCAGGGCCTTGGCCACTTGTTTGGTTTTGGCTGTGCGATGATGACCAACGAAATCAAATCCCGTGATTTTGGTCTTCAAATGATCTTTTCTGGTCGTGTAATCCGAGGTATCTTGGAGCCATACTACGGCGGAGCTTTCTGAATACATCTCAAAAGGCCTTCCATACAGGTACGGCTTGAAGTGATTCAAGGCGAACACGACTGCGAGACATTCCCACTCCTCGTTGGTATATCTTGTCTCTGCTCCTGTCACGGACCTCGAGCTATAGGCAATAGGTCCTTCTACCCCGGTTTCGTCCAGTATCGTCAGCACAGCGCCTACTCCACAAGGTGACGAATTTACTGTGACCATAAACGGTTTCTCAAAGTCGGGATGTAACAGAAATGGTTCATTATACATGAATACCTTCAGTTCATTAAATGCGTGTTCCTGTCGAACGCCCCATTTCCATTCTGAATCTTCTTGAGTAATTCCTGTAACGGATTCGTCCTGGGTGAGTACCATTCTTTGAATCGATGGAAGTAGTTACACATCCCCAGGAAACTACGTAATTCTGATTTATTTGTGGGGGTTGCGAAGGCGGTAATGGCGTGTACCTTACTCGGGTCTGGGCGTATTCCATGCTCGTCGATGACGAACCCGAGATAAGTCACTTCTCTCTGGAACAGGTGACACTTGTCTATCTGTAACGTGGCACCATGTTTATTCAATCTCTCGAATAAGGCTTTTAATAATCGCTGGTGTTTGCCTTCGTTTTTGAATGCACGATGATATCGTCTAAGGAGGCCTCGATGCCGTTACCAAGAAGCCCCTTAAGCATGGCATCCATGGCTCTCTGGAAAATCGCGGGTGCGTTTTTCAGTCCAAACGGCATCGTCAGGTACTCGAAGTGACCTTCGGGAGTCGAGAAGGCTGTTTTCTCCCGGACTCTAGCGCTCATGCGGATCTGATGGAAACCACTGGCGAGGTCGAGAGTCGTGAAATATCTAGATCGTTTAAACTTATCTAGAATCATCCTTATTCGGGGTAATGGATATCGATCAGCAATGGTCTTCTTATTCACTCCCCGGAGATCTGTCGCCATCCGCCACCACTTTTCCCCTCTGGAGTCCGGCTTCTTGGGTACCATGATAATCGGTGCATTCCAAGCTGATTTCGAATGACCAATTTTCCCTTGACTAAGCAGAGCTTGGGTCTGCTTCTTTACTTCGCCCTTGAGACTCTCAGGGATCCTGTACTGCTTGATGTAAACAGGAGTTTCATCCTTCGTCCTAATTGTGCAAGTCACATTCTTGATTTCACCACTTCCTTCCCCTGGAAGTGTGAAGAGGTGGGGAAAATCTTTGATGAGGTCAGAGATTAGATGTGCGGACTCCGCATCAGTGGTGAGTTTGATGAGTACATCCTTGACGTACTGTTCCCGGGTCTTTTTAATTTCTTCAAGAGTTTCCGTGAGACGAAACTCTAGGTCAGGTTCTCCAAAAGGGTCGGTATACAAGTCCATGCCCTCCAGTTCAGCCATACTCATTACTACGGCCAAAGGGTGTAAGGTTTGAGGCGGTATACGAATGTTGACTTTCTCGTCGTTCTCATTGGCGATAGTTGTCAAGAAAATATTTTTCTTAGACCACGATGACTCAGGGTCGACTTCTGTTTCTCTCAGAACCAGCCCTTTGGCGACTTCTGTTGTGGGTAAATAGCTTCGTCGGGTTATCGGGGCGTCCGATTCGACAGAGATTTTTAATTCTGAATGAGGTGGAAGGTTTATTGGTTTCTGCGGATCTAATTCGCGATGAAAAATAATAGGATTCTGAAGAGCTGAGTTAAGGGTCACTGATTGGTAGTGGAATGAAATTTCGGCTTTTGTTGGGACAAAATAATCATTACCGACAATCCCGATGTACGCTCCCGGAGACTTTGAATCGACGATGTTAAATTCTGTCGGTACGCCGTTGACGTTGATGGTGAGCGTACCGATAACGGGTACGTCTCCCCCCCCCCTACTCCATACAAGTTTCGCGTTTCGCAGGGAGTCAGTTCCGCGGACGTCGCCCCCAAGAAGATCACGTTCAATGCCGCACCAGTATCTAATAAGAATAACCCGGAGTTTCCTCTTAATAACTCTGATTCTAGTCGTACCATAGGTCCATCTCCTGAGCTACAGGTGGCAGGACATTTTGGAGCATTTAGATAGGGTGGTAAACGCATATGAAACGGAATGGCCGACTTTACATAATCTTTCAGCGCGACGGTAAAGGACTCGAACGACACGGTGCATCCGAAAAGCGCCAGAAAATCTCGGCCGATTATGCCATCATATCCACCCGTCGGGTCTAGAACTACATGAAATTTATGTTTCAGATGTTTTATAGGTAATTCTATCGTCCCAAACGTTTCCACAATGCGAAGTCCCGCACCGACAATATATAACTTTTCCGTCTCATCTACTCGGGTAGCAGGGTGTAATGCTCGTATCCAGATAAGGCTCGCTTCCCCCCCGTATCCACCAGGAATTCGACTTGTCCGCGCTGTAGGGCCCGATGTTGGATATTTACAACGGGACAAGTTCCTTTTACGTGTTTAATTAGATTTTCACTCGGCAAAGAATTTCGGCTGCTGAGACGGAGGTGTTGCGCCTTGGCCTCGCTCGTCCTTTCCGTCGCAGGACGAGCGCCTTCCCCGTTTAAAAAATCGCTACGATTGT